ACAGCTCTATACATTTCAGTACATCTCTATACAGTAGTCTAAACTCCTTGCTTGCCACACTTAGTCACTGCTAGGGATGGACTCTGAACCACAACGCTGGGAAGTCAGCCTGCTAACTACTACATTTTGTTACTACCAGAAAGTGAACAGGAGTTACAGGACTTAGCAGATCAAGTCAACTGGTGGAGTGCAGTTTGTTTTAAACATGGACATCTCTTCAGTAGTGTGCGAAAATGATTGGCAACTAGAGACGCACAACATATTAAAAACTTGAATTGTCAGATCTTATATATACTCATCCCAGGTATATGGTGCAAAAACTTTGGCAACCAACAGGCAGCTAGAATATCAAATTGAGTCACTGGAGCTGTGGATATACATAGAAAAAGGTCATATCTCATGCAAAAAAAAAATCAAACAATCAAATACAAAGGTTCTGGAAAGACGTTTTCTTTACTTCCTGTTTTACTGCTTCTGGCGTCGAGGTAGATATAAGGTCCTGCTTTGTGCTTTTCTGGCTGCTTCGACCAAAGACACACTGTGGTACTGTATAGTTTCTCTGATGTTATCTTTCCATTTTGTTCTTGATCTACCTCTTGCTCTACATCCCTCTCCTCTTTTGGTATATGCCTTGAATGGTATAGCATCAAAAGGTATTCTCTCCAAGTGGGCAAATCATTTGATTTGCTGTCTTTCTATGTAATTTAAAATTGTTTATGTGCCATCTTTATCTCGTATGACTTCATATCTCTTCTGGTCACTCCTACAGCCTTTCTTAGACACTTTATTTCCATTGTTACAAATTTTCTTTAATGTATAGTTCTGAGTGACCATGTCTGGTAGGTACTGGTAGCATAGGGTGGGAATCAATATGCTTTGTATAAGATGTTTCTTTGTGCGGATTAGGATTGCATTATGGGGGGGGGGGGGGGGGGGGGGCTAGCTGTCCCATTACTTTGTCGGGGGAGGGGCTAGCTGTTCCATTACTTTGTCGGGGGGGGGGGGGGCTAGCTGTCCCATTACTGGGGGGGGGGGGGGGGGGGGGGGGGCTGTCTGTCCTATTACTTGGGGGGGGGGCTAGCTGTCCCATTACTTGGGGGGGGGGGGCTTGCTGTCCCATTACTTCGGGGGGGGGGGGGGGGGGGCTAGCTGTCCCCATTACTTAGTCGGGGGGGGGGGGGGGGGGCTAGCTGTCCCATTACTTGGGGGGGGGGGGGGGCTAGCTGTCCCATTACTTACTTGGGGGGGGGGGGGGGGGGGCTAGCTGTCCCATTACTTGGTCAGCTTCACTGCATCGGATGATTATTTCTTCATCTAATTTACCATCTTCAGTGAATGTTGTTCCAAACTCAGATACCTGTTTAATATATGTATGCTCTAATGCTATGTTTAAACTCTGCCTTGTTCTTCTTATTGACATTACTTCTGTCTTTTTGATGATAATTCTCATGTTATTTGATTTAAATTCTTCATTCATTGATGTGAGATGCTGTTGCAAATTCATGGCTGTATCTGTAATCAAGGCTGGTCAAGAGTAATTTGTTGATGCCTGAAAAGACTACAAGCAACAACAAAAGAATATTTGGGGAGGGGAGCTAGTTGACAGAAATACTGGAAGCAGGAAGGGGGGTCAGTTGTGTGTCCTTTACATTACTTGCAGAACAAGCTTCATTGTGCATCTGTTTTTTTTATTTTTTAAAGACAAATTTTATGTTCAGTAATGTGCCATTGCTTTTTTGAGCGGTCACCTCTCAGTACTACTCTCAAAACCAACGCAAGACAAATAATTTAGGATTGAACCCTGCACACCGGCCACAAGAAGTGAACTCACAACGCCTAAGCTGAAGATGCTGACTAAAAGACATGACACATGTTTGAAATCTATTCCAGAGGGAAATCTACTTCTTTCTTTGTGATGATACAAATGGGAGGACAACATCAGGAGATGGACGAATACCACTCCAAGACAAGAGACAGAGCCTCTTGGAGATCTATTGTAGCCAACTTCTTTGTTAGAGACGGCACCTAATTGACTGATTGATAACGTTTAAATTATGTTCATGTTTTTCACTAACAATTGCAATCATGTTTCCTTTTTCTGATCAAAACAGCTGTTTTGTCCCCCACCATCATCCTGCCGCGACTGAAGGAACGCTGGACTTTGGTTCTTGGAGGTTGTCTCTTGTGTGCTGCCAGCATTGGCTGTGCCTTCGCCGAAACAATTGGTGTATTTATTGGCTTCTCCGTACTGAAAGGTAGCTACCACAGTTGTCCCCACCTTGTACATCTCAAGGAACATCTTTAGAACTGAAGTTTATATTGATGGAGTCTCTTATCATATCAATACCTTTGAGTGGCATTTGTGATTTGGTGTTGATGACACAATGATATATTACTGTGTTCAGATAATCTACAGTTTTGACAGTGCATTATTATTTCAGATGTTAAAGTGTGCTATTTTATGACAGTAAAAACAAGTAATGATGGCACTAATTCAGTGAATTTCACTATTTTAGCGAGGACATTTATATATTACAACTTTTTGGGAGAATTTATCATGTTATGATACATTTTTTTGGAGAAAATTGCGATGTATTGGAAAGAGCCGTTCTGACAGCAGTTTCTCAATGCTCAGTCTACTAAAGCTCAGGTGCCCGGGTTACACCTGGAGAATCGAGGATGGCAGTGTCCTTAAGGACATCCTCTATGGGGAATTAAAGATGGAAAAGATGTTGAGACTGACCTCTAATACGATATAAAGATGTGTGCAAGCTGGATATGAATGATACAGGTATTGAGGTGGACTCATGGGAATAAAATGCCATGGACCGTGTTGTGTGGAGGGGCACATCAGGAAGGAAATAAGAATAAAAAGATAAAATGATTGCAGAAAGGATGAAAGCTTAGCGTCTGAGAAAAAACCAGACTTAACATAAATGTTGACTAAAACGGTCCTGCAATTCTGTGCTAAAATTGCGTAAGACTTTTATTAACATGGGTAGGTCTTGTTAGTCATACTCACTATAACCACAGACTGTTAGTCCCATGCCTTCTTATCATAGCACAGTAATTCTCACGTTTTCAGGCCCATAAAGAGAGTGACTTCCCTTCCCATTCATAAATTGCTGTGTGGCAAGACTTGTGCTATGTTGCGGGGGTGTCAAGCTTTGAGACCGGCCAACAAAACACTGCATTTTACTAGTTGTTGTCACCGGCCAGCAATATAGCCTGTTCTGTGTTGCAGGATGTGAGCACTTTATGAATGGGAAGGAAAGTCACTTAAAAAAGTGAGTTGAAATCATAGCACAATATAACACTGTCGTCTGGAAAGACAGAAATGTGTCAATCCTTTTGCAGTAAAACCACTATTTTCTTAGATTGTACATCTGATTATCTTGTTAACCTTGAAACAAGACAATGTCATTAAAATTTGACACAATGTCACAGAATATTCTTCTTCTTCTTCTTCACTTCCTCTTTTACCGCTGTGGGTGTCGAGGGAGATATAAGGTTCTGTTTCTAGCTCTTCTGGCTGCCTCGACCATAGGCACATCGTGCTGTTGTAGAGTTTCTATGATGTTATCCTTCCATATTGTTCTTGGTCTACCTCATGCTCTACGTTCTTCGCTTCTTTCCATGTATGCTTTGTATGGTATGGTGTCACAAGGCATTCTCTCTAAGTGGGCAAACCATTTCACTTGCTGTCTTTGTATGTAATCCAGAATTGGTTCTGTGCTGACTTGTTCTCTTATGATCTCATTCCTGATCTTATCTCTTATGGTCACTCCTACAGCCTTTCTCAGACATCTCATTTCCATGGTTACTAATTTTCTTTTATGGTTTGTTGTGAGTGACCATGTCTGGCACTGGTAGCACAGAGTTGGAATAAATATGCTTTGAATAAGATGTCTCTTTGTGCTGATTGGGATTGTCTTATGCTGTAAGAGGGGGACTAGCTGTCCCAATACAGAATATTCTACACTTTCATTATATCGGTTGTTTTATGTCTCATTGATACTTTATCAACCCTTGCCATTATTTAATGACCCTATCCACGAGGAGGCTAAATGTGGCCAATCTGTAATATTCTTGACTCAGTTTTTCATCAGAATAATTTATGTAGCTGTTTATAACATTCCTTCAGCTGTTTATCTGAGAGTAGAATACTTCCTGCAGGTAGCCAAACCTTGCTGTCTGTTATTGCTCTTTTTGTTTACCATTTTATTGTCAATCAGTAGAATATTTTATTTTTGTGTTGACTTATTTTTTTTAAAATTATGTGTAGATTGCAGTATTTCACTGTATGCAGTCAATTATTTTAATCACATGTGTAGATTGCAGTATTTCACTGTATGCAGTCAACTATTTTAATCATATTTATGTCATCCTTGACCAGGGGCAGCGTCTGGCTGTGTGTTTGTCCCTTGCTGCTCTCTCATCCGGATCTACTTCAAGAACCGACAGTCTACAGCCAGTGTTATCGCTTACTGCGGGGGTAGTGTGGCAGCCATTGTTGCCCCATTTGTTGTTAGGGCAGTCCGGACAGAGTATGGGATCTCTGGAGCCTACCTTATCTTAGGCGCTGTTGAGCTCAACGTTTGCGTGGCTGGACTGTTGATGCGACCTGTCACCTTTTACAAGTTAGTTATCTTAATTTATTTTTTTTGTTTTGCTTATCATTATCATCATTCTGGGCAAGGGTTTAAAATGGTAAAGATATATTCCACGTGTTCTACTTCACATTATTAAATATTTTTTATTCCTTTATGATAACTTTATTTTTGTGGCACCATGTTAGATAGCTGCTATTATTTATTACAGAATTCTTGTAATCTTTTTCTAAATCTAGATGAATTCATTTAATATAGGCACACTTGCATAATTCATTATCTGAAGTTTTTTCATTTGTATTTTATCAAAATATTAAATACTCATGGAAAAAATTCATATTTCTGATAATTTATATTCTGTCAGTGTAGCAAATATTTTGTCTGTTGCAGGCAAACACCTGAAAAGTCAGTGGAAGAAACTGATATTACCAGAGACCACGGACTTCTGACAACAGACATCAAAGCTGAGTTCCCATCAGCAGATAAAGTGTTCCTAGAGAAAGGAGAATTCAACATTTTTAGTCACCAGTGGAACAGGCAAACTTCAGTGACATGCAGAAGTGATCAGATGCCTACAATTGAAGAAGATGCAGATCATCTGCCCAATGGTGGAAATCATGAGAAAGTCATTGCTGGAGAAAGTATCTGCAGTGTACCGACAAAGTCCTTGTCTGAGGTTTCTAAAGGCTCTAGTCTACAGGTTACAAGACAACAGCCACAACAAGACTGTTTATCCAACAACAGCGAAAGTTATGTAGCAGCCAACACTCTGGTTTTGAACCAAGCTGGGATTGCCCCAAGTCCGAACGCTGAGGCCAATAACTGTGCTAGTGTGGGTGACTCATCCCAGAGACCTGTATTTGTCTCCTGCCCCAATGCTGAAGAGCTGCTTAAGAGCCAGGAATATCAGGTGCTTATAGAACAGGAGAAACGTCTGCTGAGTCGGGAGTTGAGTGTTGATGAAAAGTAAGCATATTTGTTTACTCTTCTCTTGTTAATACATGAAAAACTACTTGTTCTTCTTCTTCTGTGTTTAATTTACCAGTAGAACAACTCTCACTAATACCTTGTATTCTTGTGCTCGACTGATTGGATTTGCCAGCACTAGGTGCTGGGTCCTGGTAGCTTTCGAATACATGAATATGGCACTTGATGATAGTTGTAGTTGGTCACTAAGGCAGAGAGAGATGGCACTAGATGATATTTAGTTGCTGCTCACTATCACAAAAGGAGATAATACTTGATGATAGTTGATGGTCAATCACACACACAGAGGGAGATATGCTAGGACTGACAGCGAATGCTTTATTTGTGTATACATACATGCATATATATACACACACAAATGTACACACACATACATAATGTAGATGACATACACACACACACATATACATATATACATACACACACATATATATATATACATACATTACCTTCCTTCCACAGATCTTTCCAGTGGTCACATGTTCCATTTTTCCTCTTCTCATAGCATGGCTGAAAAATGATGACTGTCTCCTTCTGATGTCTGTGATAAGTGGTCTTTGGGCTCCCGCCTCTTTCAAAACCTCTTGGTTGCTCTTTTTGGTTGTTCAAGGTATTCTAAGCATTCTTCTCTAAGGCCTCAAGAAATTTTTTGGGCCTGCCTACCAGTTGTCCAGGACTCACAGCCATATGCATGTAGCAAGCAAGAATTCTTTTCTAACTCTCAATGACAAAGATAAGTTGCATAAGATGTTCTTTATTTTATAAAATGCATTTTTTGCCTGTCTTTTTCTGTTTCTCATCTCAGTAATGCATCTTACATCTGATGTTATACATGTGCCCAGATACTTAAATTTCTGTACTTGTCCCAAAATAACACAAGTGACTTTTATTACACATTTAGGAATACTTCTTTTCTTTGATACCACCATTACTTCTATCTTTCGATTATTCAAACTATGGTCCATTCTTCCACTTTCTACCACCACCAGGTCTGTCATTTCCTGTAGTTCTTTCTGACTTGTTGCTATCAAGACTGTCATCAGCATAATGTAAATTGTTTATATTGTGCCCACCAACCACAATTCTGCGCATATCAATTAAAATATACATACATATATAATTATATATACATAATTATACATGCATACATACATACATACATACATACATACATACATACAGATTAGTGATCAGGAAGTAATGCACCCCATATTTTTTTCTTATGAGCTGTTTGTTCAAAAAGCCTGAAATTTATAGACAAAATTCATGCATGGTTGTGTCTTTTAAACATCTGTATCATTCAGCGCAATCCTTATTAACTTGCATGGTTTTATGCCAGTTGAAAGGGCATGTTTTTCTAGCCCCTCCTAGATTTTGTCTTGATCATATAGCCATTTCCTTGGTGTATGCCTCACTACTTCATCATCTTCAAACCTTGTTCCTAAGGAGTATAGCTCTAAGTACAAATATCTCAGATACAAATTGGAGAGTGACAAATCATGACTTCCAGTCAAAATGGCCGCTAGGCACTCTCACTGTTTTGAGCCGTGTCAAAAGTTTTTGCTTCTGCCAGACGGGGATCATTGCATTTTTGCTCCATCTGTAGACTGAAAGGATATAGTTTCGTTGCCAAACTACTGAGTTGAGTACATGGTGTGACCCTGTAATCTGCGGATTTCATTTTGAATGGGTTTTTTTAAACTGACCAACGTGGTGTTGTGAATTGTAGATTTAGAAAATGGCGGGTGGCCTGTCGTCACAATATTGGTGGTGCCCGTATGTGATTAAAATTGATCGCATGTGCAACTGCTGATCTTTTGATGACTTCTGCCACCATCGATGATGAACTGCATTTCTAATGTCGACTGTTTGTGTTGGCACTTCTGATGGCTACTGTATGCTTTTAATGTGTGTGTGTGCTAGTGCATATGCTGAGACAGCAGTCTGTCAATTGTCAATGTCTCCACAAGGGACTGTGATGAACATTATGTGTGTTTTTCATCGGTACAGGCGCGGAACAACTATGGGGTGACCCATCTGCTGTAAAGCTGAAACTAACATTAACATGACTATAGGGTGGTACAGTCCAACCCAGTTTAATGATTGCTTTCTGCATTGCCAGACTTGCCTGTAGTCGCACATCGTCATGGATGAGAAGCAACTCTGCTGGATTCCTGTGTGGTCTCCCCTCTTTCTGCCCCTGTAACCCACATAGGGAATGTTATTGAGAAGTAAAATCACTAATTATGCAAAAATGTATCAGGTCAATACTGGCATTTGTGAATTTGTGAAATAAAATTACATGCAAATTACATTATATTGTACCATGGCTTAGGATTTGTAATGGTATATTACTTGATACTTTTATTGCTAATAAGTAGAAATGTTCTGTTATTTTGTTAGGACCTCACGTAGCTCATATTTATTAATTCTGTCACGTTGTGTATTAGGCGTAGATCAGCACCATATGGCAGTGTCTTCACACTGGCTAGTGAGGCCGGTAGGGCTATTGAGGTTCTGCTAATAGAGGAAATGATGTCACAGGATGAGAGACAGGGCTTGAGCAGATGGCGCCGCCTGTATGACAGGTCATCGCTGGGGTAAGTACCTGGCAGCTGCTGTTGGCAGGTTTATGTGTTTGCGATCTGTATGAATACTTTGCTGACTGACACAATGTGGTTTCATGTTGATCTGTGTAAATGCTGGATGATGAGTTATGATGAAGAGACTGGAGGCGATGAATTGGTTTTTGACAAGAATATCAAGAATATCTCGGACAGAGAAGTATGTTGAGAAAAACATAGGCAGAGAAGAATACTGACAATACCATGGACATAGAAGAATCATGAGAATGTCTTGGCAGAGAAGTGTGCTGAGAATAACATGGGCAGAGAAGAATCATGAGAATGTCTTGGCAGAGAAGTGTGCTGAGAATAATGTGGGCAGAGAAGAATGTGTACAATATCATAGGCAGAGAAGAATGTGTACAATATCATAGGCAGAGAAGAATGTGTACAATATCATAGGCAGAGAAGAATGTGTACAATATCATAGGCAGAGAAGAATGTGTACAATATCATAGGCAGAGAAGAATGTGTACAATATCGTGGGCAGAGAAGAATGTGTACAATATCGTGGGCAGAGAAAAATGTGTACAATATCGTGGGCAGAGAAAAATGTGTACAATATCATAGGCAGAGAAGAATGTGTACAATATCATAGGCAGAGAAGAATGTGTACAATATCATAGGCAGAGAAGAATGTGTACAATATCGTGGGCAGAGAAGAATGTGTACAATATCATAGGCAGAGAAGAATGTGTACAATATCATGGGCAGAGAAGAATGTGTACAATGTACAATATCATGGGGAAAGAAGAATGTTTACAATGTACAATATCGTGGGCAGAGAAGAATGTGTACAATATCATAGGCAGAGAAGAATGTGAACAATGTACAATATCACGGGGAGAAAAGAATGAGTACATTGTACAATATCCCGGGGAGAGAAGAATGTGTACAATATCATGGGCAGAGAAGAATGTGTACAAAATCACTGGCAGAGAAGAATGTGTACAAAATCACTGGCAGAGAAGAATGTGTACAAAATCACTGGCAGAGAAGAATGTGTACAATATCATGGGCAGAGAAGAATGTGTACAAAATCACTGGCAGAGAAGAATGTGTACAATATCACGGGCAGAGAAGAAAGTTGAGAATATTATGGAAGGAGAAGAATGTGAAGAATATCATTGGTAGAGTAGAATTTTGGTACTATTTAGCTTTTTGGTCCCATCTCCTGTGGTGTGCAATTTCGTAGTCCTACAGCCTAGGGGTGTTATGATGTACCTTCATTGACAGTGTATATAGGGTGTGCCAACAACACGTGTCTTTGCTTTGTTCCAGCGAGACAACCCACTGTCTCCCACTCAAAAGTGCATGTTTTTTTCTCTCACAAACAACAGTGAGCAACTCTCTTTTTTGTAAAAGTCTTTTCATGGGTTAGGGTTAAATGCAGGAATGCTGACAGGTCAAGGAAATTCATGACAAAGGCCAAGTCATGAAGTAAGAACAGCGCTTCCACACAGGGCAGAGTGAGAGCAATGAACGAATGAAAGTAGCACACAGCGGGGAAAGATGACGTAATGAATGATAACAAACTAGAAGAAAAAAAAAACTCAGACATGTCTAGAATATAGAAGTTTTAGCACTAGTGTTAAATAAATAGAAGCTTGGACTAACCTTAACACTAATCACCCCCCACCCCCAGATTGTAGGACTGTTCTGGGGAATTTTCCAAGCAATATCACATTCAATGAGATGGGGTAGGAGGAGAGGCTGAATAGCTACCTAATGTTGAGGATCTCATGGCCAGAGAAGTTGGAGAATATCACGGCCAGAGAAGTTTGCGGAAATCATGGCCAGAGAAGTTTGAGGGAATCATGGCCAGAGAAGTTTGAAGAAATCATGACCAGAGAAGTTTGAGAATATCATGGCCAGAGAAGTTTGAGGAAATTATAGCCAGAGAAGGTGTTAGGAAATCATGGGCTGAGAAGATTAAAAATATAATGGGTAGATATTAAATCACATGTGAACTGCAGTTGTTCCAATATAATACATCAAAACAGCAAGGTCGAGACAAAGTCAAGGTCAAGACAAAGTAATGTGTAGAGTATATCAACAGAAAAGTTGGCCGATAGATTTTAGTTTTGTGGGGAAAATTCTGGACAAATGAGAGAGAAGAACGCAGAGGAGGATGTGTGGAGAAAGTTCAATTGACTGGATAACACATTGTGTAATAAGCAAGACTAACTTCCTCAGAATATGAAGTAACACACAAACTAGCCATGTCATGGTAGTTTGAGTGACCATTTATTGTCTGTGATAATAAAATAAAGGACCGCTTTACACACCTTTAGTTGTGTTAGTCTTGCAGGGCTAGACCTATGTTTTATAGATCAGTCAGCACCCTATGAGTGATGTGGTACTCATTTAAGGTTGGGTAGACCTAAATTTTATAGATCAGTCAGCACTCTATGAGTGATGGTGTACTCATTTAAGGTTGGGTAGACCTATATTTTATAGATCAGTCAGCACTCTATGAGTGATGTGGTACTCATTGAAGGTTGGGTAGACCTATATTTTATAGATCAGTCAGCACTCTATGAGTGATGTGGTACTCATTGAAGGTTGGGTAGACCTCATTATAAGTACTCATTCAAAGTTGGGTAGACATTTAAGGTTGGGTAGCCCTATATTTTATAGATCAGTCAGCACTCTATGAGTGATGTGGTACTCATTTAAGGTTGGGTAGACCTATATTTTATAGATCAGTCAGCACTCTATGAGTGATGTGGTACTCATTCAAAGTTGGGTAGACCTATATTTTATAGATCAGTCAGCACTCTATGAGTGATGTGGTACTCATTCAAAGTTGGGTAGACCTATATTTTATAGATCAGTCAGCACTCTATGAGTGATGTACCCATTTAAGGTTGGGTAGACCTATATTTTATAGATCAGTCAGCACTATGAGTGATGTGGTACTCTTTAAGGTTGGGTAGACCCATATTTTATAGATCAATCAGCGCTCTATGAGTGATGTGGTACTCATTCAAAGTTGGGTAGACCTATATTATATAGATCAGTCAGCACTCTATGAGTGATGTGGTACTCATTCAAAGTTGGGTAGACCTATATTTTATAGATCAGTCAGCACTCTATGGGAGTGATGTCAGCAGCACTCTATGAGTTGATGTGGTACTCATTCATTGGGTAGACCTATAAAGATCAGTCAGGGTGAGACCTATATTTTATAGATCAGTCAGCACTCTATGAGTGATGTGGTACTCATTCAAAGTTGGGTAGACCTATATTTTATAGATCAGTCAGCACCCTATGAGTGATGTGGTACTCATTCAAAGTTGGGCAGACTTGGGAGTGAGGGTCATTTTTAGAAAAAGTCTGGCTACCCAGGATCTGAATCCACAACCTTTAGATCTGCAAGCAAGCTGCTACACCACAGCGCTCCCTGTGATGATAAATTAACCCCATAAAATAGATGCTACCTCTGTTATGAGCTGCTTGATACAAACAAAATACAGTTTGTGTATATTAACTCTTTGAGTCCCAGGGGGTTTAACATCAGAGGCCCAAGGGGTAGTCAAAAGACATGTAAAATTCGTGCATCTTGCGTTCACTGGGCTTCTAGGTAGGAACCTATGAACGTTTGATGCATTCCTTGGGACTCAAAGAGTTAAACTGCAAATGGTATATGCTATATTACAGATTATGGTCGTTCCGGATGACTTTAATCGCAGCCTTGCCTGGTACAGTCAACCAGTATCTTGTAGCCTACTTACCAACAATTACCAACGCCCAGGGAGCAACCTTCGACCAGGCAGCTAATTTAGTCACCATTATGGGTGCTGTGGACTTGATCAGTCGCTTGGTCATGGGTGTCATCGCTGACACAAAAGTTCTACCTCCGTCACGAATGCTGTCTATAGCTCAGATCATTATGGGTAAGTGCTTGTAAGCAGATGAGGAAAGCTCTTCCATTCATTCTTTGGTTTCAGCTCTGACAGAGTTTTTATTTTTATTTTTTAAAATACAGATTTGAATTTGTGGTAAACACTTCTGTGCTTGGTTTCAGAATACAATAACTCGATAGGAGTGTAAATTAATGAAAAGTTTATATTTAATAATTCATGTATGGACATCCCCCCCCCCCCCCCCCCCCCCCCCCACAGTGGGGGAGCTTGTGTTTCTCAACGACCATCAGAGTTATGCCAGCGGTAGCGTAGCTACCAGAAAGACCTCCCAAGCTAAAAAGGTCAGAGGTTGGGGTGGAAACAGGTCAAAACCCTAGTCTTCGTAAAAACTTCATTCCATCGCAAAACAGATATCTAAGTCCATGCCTCAATTTTGGATGGATTTAAATGAGCAGCAAAACTGGAACATTAAAGGACTGAAATGTTGAATTAAGAATTGAGATCACAGTACCGGGGACACTTCCATAAGTGCTCCATCCCCATCTTCATCAGCAAGCTTCCAGTTCGGATGGCACCACTAAATGTCTGATTGTGTATCCATCTTGTGTTGATTGGTGACCAGATCCCCTGGTAACTTAAAAATAAAATAAAAATGGCAAAATGTCATGTTGATAAGTTGCATGCACAAACTGAAGATAAAGAAGATGATTTTAAAGTTTGTTTGCTTGTTTTTTTAGTATCCAGAAGCCATGAGTTGTTAACCCTTAGGCTTGGTATTAAGGATATCACAACGTTTCAGCCTTGATTCCATTGTAAATACCGTAAATCTGGGAAAAATGTGGCTTTTCTGCCTACCCCCGGGAGTTAACCTGGACCACCCGGTCACCGCACAATCCGGTTTAGCCAACTACGCTAGAGAGCCGGGCATGATATTAAAGACGATTGTTATGATCTCCGTGAGCTTATCTTAGAGAAAACTCAGAAGAAATGAGACATATTGATTGTCTTAAGAGATATCAAAGTAAAAATACTTAGAGAATGTATTTATAAAAATGTAGCAGATAATAATGGATGGAGATTTACCAACCTTGCAGTAGCCAAAGGACTTCAGATAAGCAGCATCAGATTTCAAAGGAAAAATATGCACAAAGAAACCTGGCAATCGTGTGACAATATGACATAAATCAAAGAGATCACATTTTATTAAATAATAGAAATGCATCAAACATATGAGATAGAAGCTACGGAGAAGCCAAGTGCCATAGTGACCACTACATGGTTGGTACAAAATTATAAATTTAACCTAAGAGATCCTTCTACACCAAGTTGCAAAGATCACATCTAGAGTACAATAGAGAAAGATTATAAGAAACATCCATAATTGAGAAATTTGCAGATGAATTAAAACATAAAATAGAAATTTTACAAATTCCGTCAGAGGAAGATGTTGACCAAACCTAGATGGATATTAGGAATATAATATAAACCACTGCAGAAGAATGTCTTCTTATTTTTTTTCTTCTTCATCTCTTCTTCTTCTTCTTCTTCTTCTTCTTCTTCTTCTTCTTCTTCTCTTCTTCTTCTTTCTTCTTCTTTTTCTTCTTCTTCTTCTTCTTTTTCTTCTTCTTTTTCTTCTTCTTCTTCTTCTTCTTCTTCTTCTTCTTCTTCTTCTTCTTCTTCTTCTTCTTTTTCATCATCTTCTTCTTCTTCTTCTTTTTCTTTTTTTTCTTCTTCTACTTCTCCTTTTTCTGTTAACAACATTTAAAATAAATAAAAATAAAGAACAGAATGTAAAGAAGCTATAAAAATAGTAAGCAGCAAAAGCGAGCATACATGAACAATATTGTCATGGATATGGAAGCTAACCATCAGAGCAATGAGTCCACAACATTTTTTAAAGAACTAAAAGCTATAAAATGAGGACATTAACACAGCTTATGTGGTTTAAAAGAACACAATGGTAACATGATAAATAATAATTAGGAAATATGTAACAGATGGAAGGAATATTTTGCTGGATTGTTAAACTGTGAAACCACTTAATACTTATCCACAGGAGAAGATATTAACATATGAACCAAATATTCAGGAACCAGATTTTGAAGTACTGTATATCATAACATGGCATATATAGCACAAAGCAACTGGTGCTGATGGAATTGCTGTTAAACTTGTATAAAAGAAGGTGGTCATGCATTACATTTAAACATATATGAATTAAAACTGTTTGGAAGACGGAGAAATTACCCCATGAATGGAAGGAGTCATTATTAATATTGATTTTAATGAAAGGAGACAAATATAAATATAAAAATCCTAGAGGAATATCACTATTTTCTACAAGCTATAAGATTCTATCAGTGCTACTGCTAAACAGGCTAAAAGATATATTAAATGATTACCAAGCGGGTTTCTGACAGAACAGATCACAGCAGATCAGATATTAAATTTTATGGCAAATAGCAAAACAAAATTGGGAATATAGAAGATATGTACAAAATGTTTTTGTGGATTTAAAAAAAGTCCGTCATAGTGTACATAGAAACAGTTTATGGAACTCTATGAAGGACTTTGGAATACCAAAGAAGTTAATCGCCTTGATCAAACTATGTAAGAGACTTATAATATAGTAACATATAAAGACAGAAAGTCAGACCCTTTTCAAATAACATCTGGTTTAAAGCAAGGTGATGCTCTGTTACCACTTCACTTTAACTTGACCCTGGAGAAAATTACAAGGAAATTGAACCAAAAGTACACTACAGGAGAAACTACAAGAATACTTGATTATGCAGAAGGCACTGATTTCATTAGAAAAAAGAACTAGAAATGCTAAAAACACTGAATCACTTAAAAGAAGCAGCTGAAATGGGACTAGTGGTCAGTCAAAATAAGACAGAATACAGGATAATTACTAGGCAGGGAAAGGACATAATCTGCAATCATATACAAGTCGATAATATGAAAATCAAATAAATGGAAACAAATAAGTACTTAGTGCAAATTTTAACTACTTCTAACCTGCTGAGAGAAGAAATGCAATCTCGAATTTAATCTGGAAATAAGTATACTATGTCTGTCAACATCTGCTAAAGTCAAAGTCTCTGTCTCGCAACAACAAGATCAAAATGTATAAAATGTTAAGATTAGTTGTTTTATATGGCACTAAAACTTGGAACACAGCTGAAAGAGATAAAGTTTTATTACGGATTCTTGAAAACAGAGTCTGACGACGCATCTTTGAACCCATGAAAGATGCAAACTGTGGGGAAAAGAGAGTGAGAGAAACAAGGAACAAGGTACTTCATAATCTGTTTAAATCACCATTGATCACTGGCATCATGAGGACTAATATACTGAAATTGCTGTGGCATATTGAAAGAAAATCAGATGACAGAGAGGTAAAAACTGTATACAGAAGGAAGCTGAATGGTCATACACCACAGGGCAGACTAAGAAGATGATGGAGAGATAATATCCAGACACACCTACAAACACTTGGTGTCACTAGCTGGAAAGTAATGGCTAACCAGAGAGATGGATGGAGGTAGTTGATGTCTGCCGCAATGAAACTTAAGGTCTTGAAATGCTAAAGAAGAAAAAGATGTTTGGATATGTATTATTGATGGCTGACATAGCATGTCAAATATGCATTACTTTGTACTTATGTGAACTTCTGCATCCTATTTTACACCAGGTACCGTCTGCCAGTTTGTGTGGGCTTTCACCAGTTTCCCACTGCTGATTTTGATGGTGATACTGATGGGTTTCTTTGTGGGATCCCGGGTCTCATTTTTACCTCTGGTTTGTAATGAAGTAGTGGGCAGTGAGAGGATGCCTCAAGCTTACAGTATTTCTGCCATGTCTACAGCCCTGGTGGGAGCCATGTGGAGCCCTATCTTAGGTTTGTGCTGTACTAATATATCCATAAATACTCATAGACTGTATGATAGTGGTTGTCTGTCTCACATAAATACTCATAGACTATGTGTGATAGTGGTTGTCTGTCTGACATTAATACTCATAGACTATGTGTGATAGTGGTTGTCTATCTCACATAAATACTCATAGACTATGTGTGATAGTGGTTGTCTGTCTGACATAAATACTCATAGACTGTGTGTGATAATAGTTGTCTATCTGACATAAATACTCATTGACTGTGTGTGCTAGTGGTTGTCTATCTGACATAAATACTCATTGACTGTGTGTGCTAGTGGTTGTCTATCTGACATAAATACTCATAGACTATGTGTGATAGTGGTTGTCTATCTGACATAAATACTCATAGACTGTATGATAGTGGTTGTTTACTGACATAAATACTCATAGACTGTGTGTGATAATGGTTGTCTATCTGACATAAATACTCATAGACTGTGTGTGATAGTGGTTGTCTTTCTGACATAAATACTCATAGACTGTGTGTGATAGTGGTTGTCTGTCTGACATAAATACTCATAGACTGTATGATAGTGGTTGTCTATCTGACATAAATACTCATAGACTGTGTGATAGTGGTTGTCTATCTGACATAAATACTCATAGACTGTGTGATAGTGGTTGTCTATCTGACATAAATACTCATAGACTGTGTGATAGTGGTTGTCTATCTGACATAAATAATCATAGACTGTATGATAGTGGTTGTCTATCTGACATAAATACTCATTGACTGTGTGATAGTAGTTGTCTATCTGACATAAATACTCATAGCTCATTGACTGTGTGTGATAGTGGTTGTCTATCTGATATAAATACTCATTGACTGTGTGATAGTGGTTGTCTATCTGACATAAATACTCATAGACTATGTGTGATAGTGGTTGTCTATCTGACATAAATACTCATAGACTGTATGATAGTGGTTGTTTACTGACATAAATACTCATAGACTGTGTGTGATAATGGTTGTCTATCTGACATAAATACTCATAGACTATGTGTGATAGTGGTTGTCTATCTGATATAAATACTCATTGACTGTGTGATAGTGGTTGTCTATCTGACATAAATACTCATAGACTATGTGTGATAGTGGTTGTCTATCTGACATAAATACTCATTGACTGAACAAATAAGGAAAGAAAACCCCAATGTCAACATCAACCAAGCAGAGAGACTGGGCTCAAAACGGCATCCATTGCCAGTGGCGGTGATAACATCGGAAGGAGAAAACATCCCGGATAAAGTCTACCTAGATCAAAGAATGCAAAGACCAGAGCAATACGTGCCACAGGTGATCCAGTGCTCTCGTTGCCAAAAAGCATGGCACTCCCGGGCCACTTGAGTGAGCGAACATGAAGTATGCCGATACTGTTCACAACACCATGCCTTCAACAATTGCCCGCTGGCAAAGCTGGACACAGACTTTAAGTCACCCAATACGAACAGAAAGTGCGCCAACTGCTACGGCCAGCACAGCACCAGGTACCTGGGGTGCCCCTATCTGCAACAATGTAGAGAAATTGCAACCACGGCCATACGGGATAAGATTCCATACCATGAGGCCCGCAGAAGACACGAAGCAACCCAAGGCATAACTGCAGCCATTACCACCAAATTGAGCAACGAGGTGGCTCAACTCAAAAGTGACATCCAAGCTCTCAGAGACGAGAAAGACGCATCCAAAACCCAACGAGATGAAGACAGATGAAATAACAGGCCTGAGAGCTATAATGCAGGCGACTCTTGACACCCAGAAACGGATGACAGCAGAGATGACGAAATTCAAGGAGGACATCATGAATGCACTGGCCACTATCCAGACACAAAAGGAACAACCAACTAAGGCAAGGGAAGACGAGGCGGGCATCAATGATCTGCGGGATAACCAACAACTTCTCGCGAAAGAAGTCGCAATGATCAAGAAGGCACTGGCTGAAACAGAGGAAAAGTTACGAAGAGCATACGAAGAAAACAACAGACTTAACAAGGAACTGCAAGCAACCAACAGAGTGATGGAAGAAAGAGAGAAAGCACGGAAAGAGGCAACAAGAAGGCAGCAAATACAGGGAGCCGAGACCCAGAAAAAGCCGCATCAAACACCAGATAAGAAAACTCAGGCATCGCTGATGAAACAGTTTCCGTTGGCAACAGTTGACCAAATTAACCAACGCATCATGGAGATGGAGGACCCGAACTTCTATAACTCAGAACTGCAGGATGATGATGTTTTTTGGTCATCACCAGAGGAACCACATCGACAGCCAAAATTTGAAGTCAAACGAGGTCGACACCGTTACCCCAAACACTAATACCAGATACGACACAACCAAGGCCAAATTACCGAAACCCTATGTAGGAGCAGTACTTTACAACAAGGATACGAGAAAATCACCAAATAATACCAGACCTCAGCAGTATAGCCATCAGTACCTGCCCAAGTCAATCGACCGCCGGTCCTTATTAGGATAGGCAATCTACTTTCCCCGGAAACAACAAACAGCCAAGGAATACCACAATAAATCGATCCAACATCCAATCATCTTGAGCGCAGCACAGGGCCAGCCAGATTACAAAAACAACAGCAAGAGCGGAAACCACAACAAACAGAAAGTGACAATATTGAACACAATCCAGAATCAAATAAGATCGCGACCAGAAAACGTCACCACAAATATAGCTGAAAGGAAAGTGAGCAGAAATGTGAACGGACCTAGCTGAAAGTGGTCAAAGAAAGAGAATTTGAATTGAATTGACTGTATGATAGTGGTTGTTTACTGACATAAATACTCATAGACTGTGTGTGATAATGGTTGTCTATGTGACATAAATACTCATAGACTATGTGTGATAGTGGTTGCCTATCTGACATAAATACTCATAGACTGTATGATAGTGGTTGTTTACTGACATAAATACTCATAGACTGTGTGTGATAATGGTTGTCTATATGACATAAATACTCATAGACTGTGTGTGATAGTGGTTGTCTATCTGACATAAATACTCATAGACTGTGTGTGATAGTGGTTGTCTGTCTGACATAAATACTCATAGACTGTGATAGTGGTTGTCTATCTGACATAAATACTCATAGACTGTGTGATAGTGGTTGTCTATCTCACATAAATACTCATAGACTGTGTGATAGTGGTTGTCTATCTGACATAAATACTCATAGACTGTGTGATAGTGGTTGTCTATCTGACATAAATACTCATAGACTGTATGATAGTGGTTGTCTATCTGACATAAATACTCATAGACTGTGTGATAGTGGTTGTCTATCTGACATAAATACTCATAGACTGTGTGATAATGGTTGTCTATTTGACATAAATACTCATAGACTGTGTGTGATAATGGTTGTCTATCTGACATAAATACTCATAGACTGTGTGTGATAATGGTTGTCTATCTCACATAAATACTCATAGACTGTGTGTGATAATGGTTGTCTATCTGACATAAATACTCATAAACTGTGTTAAAGTGGTTTTCTATCTGACATAAATACTCATATTCTGTATGATAGTGGTTGTTTACTGACATAAATACTCATAGACTGTATGATAGAGGTTGTCTATCTGACATAAATAATCATAGACTATGTGTGATAATGGTTGTCTATCTGACATAAATACTCATAGACTATGTGTGATAATGGTTGTCTATCTGACATAAATACTCATAGACTATGTGTGATAATGGTTGTCTATCTGACATAAATACTCATAGACTATGTGATAATGGTTGTCTGTCTGACATAAATACTCATAGACTATGTGTGATAATGGTTGTCTGTCTGACATAAATACTCATAGACTATGTGTGATAATGGTTGTGTGTCTGACATAAATACTCATAGACTGTATGATAGAGGTTGTCTATCTGACATAAATACTCATAGACTATGTGTGATAATGGTTGTCTGTCTGACATAAATACTCATAGACTGTGTGATAGTGGTTGTCTATCTGACATAAATACTCATAGACTATGTGTGATAGTGGTTGTCTTTCTGACATAAATACTCATAGACTGTGTGTGATAATGGTTGTCTGTCTGACATAAATACTCATAGACTGTATGATAGAGGTTGTCTATCTGACATAAATACTCATAGACTATGTGTGATAATGGTTGTCTGTCTGACATAAATACTCATAGACTGTGTGATAGTGGTTGTCTATCTGACATAAATACTCATAGACTATGTGTGATAGTGGTTGTCTGTCTGACATAAATACTCATAGACTGTGTGATAGTTGTTATCTATCTGACATAAATACTCATAGACTGTATGATAGTGGTTGTCTGTCTGACATAAATACTCATAGACTGTGTGATAGTTGTTATCTATCTGACATAAATACTCATAGACTGTATGATAGTGGTTGTCTGTCTGACATAAATACTCATAGACTGTGATAGTGGTTGTCTATCTGACATAAATACTCATAGACTATGATAGTGGTTGTCTGTCTGACATAAATACTCATAGACTGTGTGATAGTGGTTGTCTATCTGACATAAATACTCATAGACTTGTGATAGTGGTTGTCTGTCTGACATAAATACTCATAGACTGTATGATAGTGGTTGTCTGTCTGACATAAATACTCATAGACTGTATGATAGTGGTTGTCTGTCTGACATAAATACTCATAGACTTGTGATAGTGGTTGTCTATCTGACATAAATACTCATAAACTGTATGATAGTGGTTGTCTGTCTGACATAAATACTCATAGACTGTATGATAGTGGTTGTCTGTCTGACATAAATACTCATAGACTGTGTGTGATAGTGGTTGTCTATCTGACATAAATACTCATAAACTGTATGATGGTTGTTGTCTGTCTGACATAAATACTCATAGACTGTATGATAGTGGTTGTCTGTCTGACATAAATACTCATAGACTGTATGATAGTGGTTGTCTATCTGACATAAATACTCATAGACTGTATGATAGTGGTTGTCTATCTGACATAAATACTCATAGACTGTATGATGGTTGTTGTCTGTCTGACATAAATACTCATAGACTGTATGATAGTGGTTGTCTGTCTGACATAAATACTCATAGACTGTATGATAGTGGTTGTCTGTCTGACATAAATACTCATAGACTGTGTGTGATAGTGGTTGTCTATTTGCATGTCGGTTACCAGATAAAGTTATAAACATATTTAAAGGACTCTGTAAATGATACCAATGCAAAGTGAGAGTCGAACTCATGGAAACAGAATACTTCAGGGTAACAGCTGGAGTCTGATCACCTTTCTTGTTTTTTCACAGTGATAGATTATGCCATGAAGATAGCAACCACAGACACACGGACTGGCTCCCAGTGCAACCTTCTCGAACACCTTGAACATTTGGACTTCGCTTAACAATCCTGTTAGCTGAGTTTATATACTTCAGTACTGGAAAGACTAACCTGGGAAACATTGAGAAGTTGGATGTTTCACCGCAAATGTGCAAATATCACAGCCATGCTGTAAACAGCACAACACAGTTACATTCTTGGATGAACAAAGAAGACACAAACAATAGATTGCACAATTTATTGCCTGGCATATTTCGCTGTATCTCATCAGGTGCATACTACAGTAACAGTTACATAAATGAAGCAAATAAGTGAATCCTTTATAACTGAAGTACAATTTCAACAATGATCAAACATGACTGTCTCTTTTTACCAGGGCAGCCGTAAAGAAAGAACCATCTTTTTCTTGGATGAAGATATGTTTGAATTATTTTGTAAACTAAATGTATTTTACACATATACTTTTATTTTAAATCTATAAACGGTAATAAGGTGACATGTTTACTTTTAGGTCTAATTGCTGAATCTACGAAGTCTTTCCTGGTGGTCATGCATTTTATCGGCACCGGCTACATCCTGAGTGGCTTGTTGATGCTGACACTTCCTGCATTTACTCGGCGGGAAAAAAAACGTCAGCTGACACTGGAAAATGACGATGTTAAAGATGCAGACACATCCAGTGTTGTGAAATGAATTGTCTCATTTATAATCACGTACATAAAAACCAGTAACACAGTTGTGTCAGAATGCACTGTGGTGCCATCTTCATATGTGATTAATGTATGCCCTACCTCACAAAAGTCTGGTAATATTTTCAGAACCTGCTTTATAGAACTTTTTTCCTGTGTTTTCAGGCGCCCCATTAGTGGACGGGGTGGGGGGGGGGGGGGGGGGTTTGGGGGGGATAAGAATAGACCTACTGTTCACCCTAACAAGTATGTCGCAGGAGGCGACTAATTTTTGGGTGTTTATTTCAGTTTGAGGAATGAACAGTGCATACAAATAAACTAGATCTGTAAAACAGATGCACACACAAAATTCAGGTCCTGAAACAAAATCAAAGTCCAGAAATGGATGAAAAACCAGGACTTTCTGCTGGAGTTTACAACCGGTGAATGTAAATAAAAATTAAACTTTAATTTGTGTTATGTCTTTAAAAACATATCTCTAATCAATGTTATATGATAACTATAAAAACTGATTATCAGTTATGATGATATTGTGTTATGTCTTTGAAAAAATATCTCTAATCAATGTTATATGATAACTATAAAAACTGATTATCAGTTATGATGATATTGTGTTATGTCTTTAAAAACATATCTCTAATCAATGTTATATGATAACTATAAAAACTGATTATCAGTTATGATGATATTGTGTTATGTCTTTAAAAACATATCTCTAATTAATGTTATATGATAACTATAAAAACTGATTATCAGTTATGATGATATTGTGTTATGTCTTTAAAAAAATATTCTTAATCAATTTTATATGATAACTATAGAAACTGATTATCAGTTATGATGATATTGATGATAATGATAATACACTCCATGCTAACAAAAGAAGCACCAGTTTTGGGGTGATTGATCACTGATCACATTTGTTTGTAGTATGTATTGTCTCAGTGAGGCAGTGTGAACAGTAGGCTAGCAGTATCAAATACTTGATGTCCTGCTGATGTACTGTGAACAGTAGGCTAGCAGTATCAAATACTTGATGTCCTGCTGATGTACTGTGAACAGTAGGCTAGCAGTATCAAATACTTGATGTCCTGCTGATGTACTGTGAACAGTAGGCTAGCAGTATCAAATACTTGATGTCATGCTGATGTACTGTGAACAGTAGGCTAGCAGTATCAAATACTTGATGTCATGCTGATGTACTGTGAACAGTAGGCTAGCAGTATCAAATACTTGATGTCCTGCTGATGTACTGTGAACAGTAGGCTAGCAGTATCAAATACTTGATGTCATGCTGATGTACTGTGAACAGTAGGCTAGCAGTATCAAATACTTGATGTCATGCTGATGTACTGTGAACAGTAGGCTAGCAGTATCAAATACTTGATGTCATGCTGATGTACTGTGAACAGTAGGCTGGCAGTATCAAATATTTGATGTCATGCTGATGCAATGTTTATCGTCACCTAGTGGTGTCGGTTATTTCACCAGTTTAGCACTGCTTTTATTATATCAAGTAATGATTTTGTTTTTGTTTTGGCAATGTTCCTTTGTCTATATGAAATACAATGTTAATATTAATAATTATCTTGTAGCCTAACCCTTGTACAGGGGAGACAATTTGTCCTGCTGCAGTGTGGTTTTCAAGGGATATCATCCTCATATGTGACTCCACAAGTGGCCTATCTGTTCCTAGATTACACGCCGTGGTCCCAAATATTTATGCACAAAACTTACACATTCTGTATATATTTCCTTGGATCTGCATGCTTTATTATTATGAAAACAAGGGCAGTTGTTGTTGTTGTTGCCATATTGTCTGTTCTGTTCAATTTTTTTTAGATGTTTTAGTGTATACAAAATAAGTTGTCCCCATGGGGGTGCAATTTTTTGTTATTCTGAAGCCCCACCCTAGCTTTTTCCAGGCCCTTATTTAAGGCCCAACGGCCGAATCCGGGTGATCCTCAATTACATGGTGGCACTTTGCTGTCATTATAGACTTTGCAGGTTAAGATTGTATTTTGGCCCAGACAGAAAACCACTCAGCTATAGCTAAGATTTGAAGCTGGGGTGCATGAGGGCACAACATTCTTATCCATTTTACCAGCAGCTGCTTATTGACTGTGTAGTTTACTGAAAAATTTTCTGTGTGGTTCACTGAAGGATTGTCTGCGTGGTTCACTGAAGGATTGTCTGCGTGGTTCACTGAAGGATTGTCTGTATGGTTGTCTGTGTGGTTTACTGAAGGATTGTCTGTGTGGTTCACTGAAGGATTGTCTGTGTGGTTCACTGAAGAATTGTCTGTGTGGTTGTCAGTGTGGTTCACTGAAGGTTTGTCTGTGTGGTTCACTGAAGGATTGTCTGTGTGGTTCACTGAAGGATTGTCTGTGTGGTTGTCTTTGTGGTTTACTGAAGGATTGTCTGTGTGGTTCACTGAAGGATTGTCTGTATGGTTGTCTGTCTGGTTCACTGAAGGAATGTTTGTTTGGTTCACTGAAGGAATGTTTGTGTGGTTCACTGAAGGAATGTCTGTATGGTTGTCTGTCTGGTTCACTGAAGGAATGTTTGTTTGGTTCACTGAAGGAATGTTTGTGTGGTTCACTGAAGGAATGTCTGTATGATTGTCTGTGTGGTTCACTGAAGGAATGTTTGTGTGGTTCACTGAAGGATTGTCTGTGTGGTTGTCTGTGTGGTTCACTGAAGGATTGTCTGTGGTTCACTGAAGGATTGTCTGTGTGGTTCACTGAAATTTCTCTTCTAACTGCTGAGCTGGTTCGATTCACTGTCTGGAATATTGAGTTGTTGAAAACCTCAGAAAAATGAAGGTACACATATTTTGTCTCATGGAAAGTAAAAGAACAAATATCAGGGAGTGGGAAGCCAGCTGCAGGTAGTGTTCATTTGAACAAAGAGGTCCAGGATTTTGTGTGCGCTCACAGCGGTCATGTAGTAAAGAAAGTAGTCTTTTGTGTTAAAAATACTAGTCAATATAGTCATGGGAGGACAGGGAAAGATGGTCCAGTGAATCTTCAACTCTTTCAGTCCCATTAACACATACATTCATAGGTTCCTACCTCAGTGAATGCGAGATGTGTGGATTTTATGTCTGTCTATATTACCCCTTGAGCTTCTGATGCTAAACGGGACTGAAAGAGTTAAGTGAAGTGCAGCAACAGCTAATATAAACATCTATTTTATTTAAACATGGTGATGGAGAAGAGTAGACGGCCTCTTGTATCTGAATCAGACCTGATGTCTAAAGGAGATAGAAGAACATCTGTTTATGGAATTGCTGTGAACTAAAACATACATATTATTGAAGATTTGTTTTCCTTTGTGAATATTTTTGTTGCCTTTAACCAAATAATAGACTGATCTTTCAAGTTTCCTTATACATGTTTACTAAGCCATGTTGCTGACATTTTGACAGGCCATAATTGTGCACAAAGTCCCATTACATTTATATGTCTTAGAGAAGCATTTATATTAACACAAAATATTTGAACACAAAAGTTGTGTTTCTTGAACTTATGAATTTAATGTAAATGTTTAATGTGTTGATGTACTTTCTAGCATAAATGTTCAGTGTGTTATATATTTCTAGCATAAATGTTCAGTGTGTTATATATTTCTAGCATAAATGTTCAGTGTGTTATATATTTCTAGCATAAATGTTTAGTGCATTATATATTTCTAGCATAAATGTTCAGTGAATTATATATTTCTAGCATAAATGTTTAGTGCATTATATATTTCTAGCATAAATGTTTAGTGCATTATATATTTCTAGCATAAATGTTTAGTGCATTATATATTTCTAGCATAAATGTTTAGTGCATTATATATTTCTAGCATAAATGTTTAGTGCATTATATATTTCTAGCATAAATGTTCAGTGTGTTATATATTTCTAGCATAAATGTTTAGTGCATTATATATTTCTAGCATAAATGTTTAGTGCATTATATATTTCTAGCATAAATGTTTAGTGCATTATATATTTCTAGCATAAATGTTTAGTGCATTATATATTTCTAGCATAAATGTTTAGTGCATTTTATATTTCTAGCATAAATGTTTAGTGCATTATATATTTCTAGCATAAATGTTTAGTGCATTATATATTTCTAGCATAAATGTTCAGTGCATTATATGTTTCTAGCATAAATGTTCAGTGTGTTATATATTTCTAGCATAAATGTTTAGTGTATTATATATTTCTAGCATAAATGTTTAGTACATAATATATTTCTAGCATAAATGTTTAGTGCATTATATATTTCTAGCATAAATGTTTAGTACATAATATATTTCTAGCATAAATGTTCAGTGTGTTATATATTTCTAGCATAAATGTTCAGTGCATTATATATTTCTAGCATAAATGTTTAGTGCATTATATATTTCTAGCATAAATGTTCAGTGCATTATATTTTTCTAGCATAAATGTTCAGTGCATTATATATTTCTAGCATAAATGTTTAGTGCATTATATATTTCTAGCATAAATGTTTAGTGCATTATATATTTCTAGCATAAATGTTTAGTGCATTATATTTTTCTAGCATAAATGTTCAGTGCATTATATTTTTCTAGCATAAATGTTTAGTGCATTATATATTTCTAGCATAAATGTTCAGTGTGTTCATCCATTCCTAGCAGATATGTTCAGTGTGTTCATCCATTTCTTGTTCAAATGTTGTTTTATATAGAATGCTACATTATTCAATGTAGGTTTAAAAAAATATATATCATATGCTACATTGCATGTAATATCTATAATTGTAATTTTTTCTAGGTCAGCATCATCATCATGTGTTACCATTGATAAGTCACATAGGGCTTACAGTCTAGCCCTCCATTCAATTCTATTTTGTACAATCAGTATATGTCTGCTAGAATTGTTCTTGCCATTTCATAAGCTGTTAAATAGAAAGTATGGCTATCCTCCGAATAACAGTCCTAAATTATCGAGGCGGAAAATATACCCTAACAGAGCCTCAG